CAAAATAGATATTTCCTACACCCACTTCCCCCCCCCCCATCCCCACCACCCCCAGTCCCGCCTCAATTCGTCTCCCCTCCAACATCAATTGTAGGTGCAAGCTTAGCTGACTATGAGATCAATAATTTTGTTTCTAAAGTTAACTAAACTTGTATCTCACACTTGATGTGAGTAATGGGACGTGTTGGGGTCAAAACTAAGTGGAGGACGTTTTCTAAGAGTTAGTTGAGATATGAATTGATGAATAATCAATTTTACAAACAGATATATCGTAGGGGTCTCAATAAAAAGTTTTGGTACATTGTAATATGTGGTCACTCAAAATGAGTGGCCATAAAAACGGGCGCGATCATTTATTACACTGTTGTTATTTTTATTATACTATTATTAGATTTTTTTTATATCATGATATTATTATTAGATTTGGTTATATATGATTTGTTATCCCGATATATTAAAATCCATAAGAGAGACGACTGAGAGAGCAACATTCAAATAAAATAAATTAAATATAAACTCAAACAAATATCAAGGGAACGGAGTAATATTTAAATAAATTAAATTACACATAAACTCAATTTAATATCGTAATCTGAACGGAAAAAAAATCAAACGCAAACGGATGGGAGACATTTCTTTTTTACCAAACTGGCAAACCATATACTCGAAATCGCAGAAATTTTGGTCTCAATTATTATTCATCAGCAATTTCCCCATTACGTTGCCACTTTTTCAACCGGCTTTGAGCTGCTTCAACCTGATGGGCATAAATACAAAATAACACAAAATTTCAATACAATATTGTTTTACACATAAAGAAAAAAATGTGTATTTCAAAATATTCTAATCAAACAAACTAAGTTAAAATGGCAAGGTTCGGTTGAGATCAGACTAGCATCCAGTATTAACGGATGACACTCAATCATTTGAAGTTCTTTATTTGGTGTTTCAAATAAAAAATTAACAGTTCCTACTCCTCCTAACACCCTTCCTAAATCCCCTATCACACCCTCCACCCGGCCGACCCCTGCTCCGCAGTCCGCAACTCAAGACCCCCCTCTTAATTACCTATTCCAAATATATGGCTATTATGTATAGTAGTACACATTTGGAGGGGTAAGATGGGGGTCTAGGGTGGGAGTGTAAGGGTCGGGATGAGGGGTTTAGGGAGAGAGTTAGGGAATATGAACCATCAATTTTCCAAACTGAGAATCGAAAAAACTTTAAATTAGCATGTGTTATTCGATCCGTTGATACTAAATACCAGTGTAAGGAGATCGACCTTGCCAAAATTAAAATAATACTCTCAAGTTTGTTTCATAATATTCAGACAATTAATTACACATAGACATTTTGAAAAGAGCTCCAATAGCTTATATAAAAGTAAATTTAATTGACGATGACTTGGTTCAATTCATTAATAATCGATTAACGGTACCTCTTTATCCCAATCGGTGCGAAAAGTGACCCACAACAAGATTAGGGTTTGCATGGCTGTTCCTCCAAGCATTCCAAGCCAAATTCCCTACAAATTGAATTGTTGTATAAATAACCAAGAAAAAACACTATTAAAAAATTATCTAAATAAGACAACAACATAAATAAGATGTTTTTTTATCATCTAAAATATTCTAATTAAACAAGAGCTTGACACTGTGAGATGCCACTTTTAATATTCACTAGCTACGTTCATACTTCGTAAAATATACTCCCTCCTTCTCTTAAAATATTTTAACTTTCACTTATTACTCGTCCCATAAAACATTTCAATTTCACCCGAATAGACACAATTGCCCTTATTTTTCATAAATCTAACCGAACCTACCTCAATTACCTTCTACGCTCTACCCATTTTGATATTTTTCGAGTCCACCTGGTTTCAATAATTGTCGTTGTTTCGCCTTTGAGATTTTAAGATATGAAATGGGGAGCTAGAATTACCTTAGCACCATATTGGAATTTGAAACCAAGAAGAGCACCGACAGGGATGCCGACAACATAGTAGCACCCCACGTTAACGTAGGCCACAAATGCCTGCCACCCACACCCAACCGCCACCCCGGAAAGCACGGGCTGAATGCCGTTGAGAACAATGGAGACGGCCAAGAGAGGGGCTAGGTCCGAGACGGCGTCCGCGATCCTCTGGCCGCCGGTGAAGACGAAGCTGAGCCGGTGGCGGAGGACCACCACCAGAACCCCGCACGCTGCCGCAATCAGGAAAGAGCTCAGCGTCACCACAAGCACTGAAAATGAGGCCGACTTGGGATGCCCTGCCCCTAGCTCATTGCTCACTCTCACACTTCACCCAATCACATCAGATCAAATAAGTATAAATTAGAGTAAATTCCATAAAAGGTCTCCAATTATAGTTCGTTTTATATATTTAGGGGCTGTTTGGCAACTTCTGAATGGGTAAGTGCTGAACCAGTAAGAAGTCTGAATCATTACATGCTGAACCAGTAAGAGGTCTGAACCATTAAAAGCTAGTATATTGCTTAACTATTCAGAGGCAAATGTCTGATCAATTCAGATAAGAGCTCTTAACCATTCAGACTCTGTATGATACTTAACCATTCAGAGGCAAATCTCTTAACCATTCAGACATCTGAACCATTAAGAGGCTGAAACAAACAGTCTGAACCATTAAGTGCTGAATCATTCAGACATCTGAACCATTAAGAGGCTGAAACAAACAGCCCCTTAGTCTTTACATATCAAATATTAATAATTTAGTCTCTAATTATAATATTATTTTCCACGAATGATCCTTTCTTAAATAGTAAAATAACACTCACGAAAAAACAGTAAAATGACACTAACCTTGCAGCTGCATTGAAGCCTACAGATATCATGAACACCCATCCCAGAATGGTTGAACTGCATATAATTAAATGTAAAAATAAGATAAGCTAGATCGTGATTAATTGTTTTATTTATTACTGTAGAAATATAATTGGAACTAAACTTGAATCATTTGATTACACATAGATCTGCTATTTATAAACAGCTACAAGACCATGACCTAATTACGAGCCCAACAAGAATGAGCCCGTTAACGACAAACCCTACTACATTCCTTAACACTCCCCCTCAAGTTGGGGGGAGATTAAGGAATGCACAACTTGGACAATTAAAACAAAACTAAGACAAAAAAAAACTAAAAAAAAAACAAAAAAATTTGATAAATAACTTGAACTTGAACAACTAAAAAAAACTAGGACTAAAAAAAATTTGATAAATAACTTGAACTTGATCTGCTGTGACAACAACGAACGAAGGTTACTGGCCCTGCAAACGAACAATAAATTTTGATGACGAATGACTCCCACGCGGTGACACGGGGACGACTAACAGACATCCCAAACTTGGAGGCCGTGTTGCCGGACTGAGGCGCGACTATGCGACCAACCTCACAAATTGATATATCGGTCTGAGGCGCGACTATGCGACCAACCTCACAAACAAATATGCCGAACATACAGCTGGTTGCACTTGAACATACCAAATAGCAACCAAAAACAATGTCGCCAAAAACGTCATCAAATTTCGATGAACGATAGAGCGAACATAAAAGCCTTCTTCCTCCAAGCACGAACAAATCAAACCAAATTTAACAAAGTGACAAACCAATCTCACCAACAAGAATGAGCCCTGCNATAAGACGACAACCAGAATTGCCGGACAGAGACGGTAGCAGCGGTGGATCTGAAACAAGAAGTTGCGGTGGATCTGAATCGTGTAGCAGCTAGACTAGTCAGACAAACTTCGCCGGAGATAGATGACAAGGATTCCCCGTCTGACCTGCGACTAGTGACGGTCAGAAGTCGGTGGCCTCTTGACGATGACTAAATATTTGGAAGGCAATAAATAATTTTGATAAGAACAACCTAAGGATAGTTTCGTAAAGCTAGAAAGTAGCTTGACGATTGGTAAAGAGAAAAAAAATGGTGACGCCGCCGTCGCCGGACAAATCACCGGCGACGGCGGAAGCAACAAATTAGAACAAACTAGGGTTTAGGTTCCCAGGTTGGCTCCGATACCATGTAGAAATATATTTGGAACTAAACTTGAATCATTTGATTACACATAGATCTGCTATTTATAAACAGCTACAAGACCATGACCTAATTACGAGCCCAACAAGAATGAGCCCGTTAACGACAAACCCTACTACATTCCTTAACAATTACTCTGTATCTTTTTTTAAATTAACCCATATCTCTCATATTTTAAAACAAGTTTTCAAACTTCTCGAAATTTGTATGAATTCACCCCGAACTTTAAAAATTGTACCAATGCCTCCTGAAATTTCAAAAATGTTACAACAACGGTCGCCCTGTGTCAGATTTGGAAGTACATTAATCACACAGTAATATACATGTTGGAGTTTGTGAAGAAGTCATTGTTTGATAAAAGGTTGATCGATTGTTGACTAACTTTATTGACTAATGCCAAGTCTTCAAATTTGGTTATCGACGACTAAATCAAGAACAATTATCTAAGATCTAAAGAGATTAAAAAAATGGAAAATAATGTTTGTGAAAGGCAAGTTGCACAACTCACGTGTGATATATAACCTTAGATAAATTTATACTCGCACTGGATGAACGTGTGATTAATGCACAGACGGGCCTTTGGTGCAACATTTTTAAAAGTTCAAAGGAACTGGTGTAACTTTAAAGTTGGGAGAGAATGGGTGGAACATTTTTATTAAATTTTGAATTTAGTAAAAAAAACTTCAAACTCTTAGACTTTGGTAATGAGAATATTTAAATTGAAAATGGGGACATACATACCAAACAGCAAGAGAATCCAAAGCGACCTCAGGATCAGGGAGAAGGCCAGCAATCAAAACCATAATCTGGAAATACCAAGTCTCCAAACACAGCATAACGGCAGAGGCAAGTGAGAGCTTGAAGAAATCCCACAATCCCGAAAATGCCCTCCAGCTGAACCCGCCCCAAGTCTTCTCGCACCTTTTGGACAGCACTATGTAGGCGAACTGCGCCGCCACTATGATCCACCACGACAGGCTGAGCACCAGCGCCGCCCCCAGCAGTCCGCCGTCCAGCACGAACACCACCACCCACGTCAGCAATAGGTGCACCACTAGCGTTGCCCCTGCAGGTAATATTATATTTATTCACAACAAGACTTCGGCGTCATGTTTACGTTAACGAACCACCTCAACAAAGAGTATGTTGAAGGCTCGTTTGGCATTAGTTTTAGATGTTAGCGTGATCGTTTTTTAAAAAAAAAAAATCATCTGACAGTGGGCTTTAGCATTGTAGACCATTAAAATGTTATCAAAAACATCAACGCTAGTCAAAAACATTGTTCTCAAACACGTTGTTAAGAAGCTTTATTGAATTAAAACTGGACAAATATTTTGGGTCGGAAAAAGTACGTGTATATATACCTGATATGTATGCGCTAGGGTTCACGATGCTCTGGGACTGCAAGAACTTTTGGATGGGGAAGTTGGTGGCGTAGGCGAAGATCTGGGGGATGAGGCCGTAGACGAAAAGGGCGGAGGCGGAGGCGACGGCTTGGGACTCCCCTAATAAGAGCAAGATCTGTTTGGAGAAGATGTATGCCAAAAGGAGGGGGAGTCCGGCCAGCATTAGAAGGATTGTTGATCTCTGCAGATATATCCCAAGCATCTCATACTTGTGTGCTCCATATGCTTGTCCACATAGTGTCTCTACTGCACTTCCCATTCCAAGCTGCATGTATGTTCATGCATGTATGTGTGTATAATTAGAATATGCATCAGGATTTTGGATCTTTTATTGATGGAATAGATTACTTGAAAAATGCTTAAGTTAAACGAATTCGAAGTTTAACGAACTCGCTAAAATTGAGTCAAACCTAATTGAACTTGGAACTCGACCTATCCGACCTTCTACAATAAAATAATGTTGCAGTACAATATTAATTTCTTGAGGTGTGCTAAGGTTCACCAAGTTTATACCCCAAGTTTCACACCAAATGTACTACTCCCTCCGTCCCATGAAACATGTGACTTTTGCTTTTTAGGAGGGATTTAGGGGAGTGTATTTTGGTATTGAATTTCCAAAAATGTTCTTTGATGTGATGGGTAAAAGTATGATTTGATGGATAGATTATTAGTAAAAAGGTATGATTTGATAGGTAGGGTATGAAAAAGTAAGGGGTAAAAGTGATTTTTTAATAGAAATGAGAAGTGTTTTTTGAGACGGGTGAAAAAAGAAAGAAGAAAGGTTTTTTGGGACGGAAGGAGTATATAATAATTGTATTTGGGTGTCTGTAGTATACTTGGTACGCAAATTGGGGTAACAAAAATGCTAGGGGTAAACCTCGTGTACCCCTAGCTTTTTTCCATTTTTTTTCTTATCACTCTTTTTGTTAACTTACACTTCATCACTCCCTAAAAGTTTCTCCTCTCTTTTTTTTCTTGTTTCAAAATTTCTCTTTTTTATTACGGAGTACAAAAATACTTTTATCCTTTACCGCTGCACTAATGTTTATCCTCTCTATCACATCGAATTTATTCACTAATAGTATACTAATCACATCCTACTTTTATGTATCCATCACATTAGAGATATTTTTGAATAAATAACACAAAAATATCTCTCTTAAATTCTATAAATGTCAAAATAGGAAAGCAAGTTAGGGACAGAGGGAGTATTTTCAAACGAGAGAAAGACCAAAGTAGGAGTAAAACATTGAAATTATACCAAAATAGGACTTTCATGTTTTTAATCCTTAAATAGGATTTAAAATGCATTTACATTACCAAAAATGGTCATGTACATTACCGAAAAGTATAGTAATGAGTACATTTACAATGCCACATTACAACCACATTACCACAGTGTCAAGTCCTATTTTGGGGAAAAAACATAAAAGTCTTATTTTGGTACTTTCCTATATGTTTTAGTTCTATTTAGAGTGATTTCTATAATAGTAAATTTCATAATTGGCCCTTTATAATAGGGGGATTTCCCTATTTAGTCCTCTATTATCAAATATTACCCCAGTGGTCCTTCTTTTATGAGTATCTTTCCACAAATAGTCCTTTTTCGATCTTCTATCATGTTGGTGTTAATTTGAGGACTAAAAGTATAATTTTACAATGATAATATTTTTTTTTGTCATACACAATTCCAAAGGCTATTCCTATTCCATTTGCGTCGTTTGTGAATTACAGTTGTTTTCTACTACAACCATAGTCTAAAAATGTGGTCTTTTGTTGGAATCCTAGCCCACAATCATAATCATTATTTTTGTGTTATCCGCTTAACCAATATTAGTACACGTCATTAGACATAATATTGATATCAAATTCTACTTTTAGCTTTTAAATTAGCACCAACATGGCAGAAGATCAAAAAAAGGACCATTTGTGGAAAGTCACCCTTAAAAAAAGGACCACGAGGATAATATTTGATAATAAAGGACTAAATATGGAAACCCCCATGTTGTAAATGACCAATTATGGAATTTTACTCTTTCTATAATAACACTGTATTATTATTATAAGGAGAACTTTTTTAAAAAAGGCACATACTCTGTATAAATTTTTTATATTATTTATAATAATCGCTCATTATATGTTGGGTCGGCCCAAATTTGACGATATAGAGTCATGAATATGTCGTGCCCAATCTGAATTTGAATTTACTCTAACTTGAAGAAATCAAAATTGAAGTACTGAACCCGAACACGGCTTGACTGACATTTTTGTCAGCTCTAGCTTTTAGGATGACACCCTTCTCTTCTCTGAGTGAAGAGATGTTTTTATTTTGTTCAGTAATATAATCTTTACACACTAATAACTCTATTATAATACAGCATTTGTTCATATATTTTCAATCTATTAAGCACGTAAAGTTATTATCTCCACCGGAGTTAGAACTTGTGACCTATAATATGAAAGAGTCACTATGATGTATAATTTGTTCAAGAATATGGAGTAATTTTTAATTAAGCTCTGATCGATTTTTTGTTGTTACTCCCTATATAGCTTTAAGTTATTAAGTCAAATTAAAATATACTCCCTTTGTTCATATTGGATGCCACACTCTGAATAATATATAAAATTTCATTATTTTAAAATAATATAAATTAAAAATTATTATAGAAATAAAAATTATAACTTTTACCATTTAAAAATTAAAAGTACATAAAAAGTTTTATAAAATAACAGATGACAAGAATAAGAATATTTATTGTTAGTGAACAACTGTAGTTGGCTTATTTAATACTTCTCTCGTCACAAAAAAATACACTCTTCACTTATTCAAAAATCATGAAAATTTAATTTATTTGTACGTTTTGATTGATTATTGATTTAAAAAAATATTCTTGACACCTCTGCTTTTGTAACACTTTTGATGTAGTTTTTAAATATTTAAGTTTTATTTTTAATTTATATACTAATTTTTAAATAAAATGAATTTAAAAAAAACTTGAAAATGACTTTCTTATGCGTAAAGTTTTAAATATTTTGGTAATGAAGGTTTTTCTTTGGCCGTCAAAAAAGTGCATTAAAATCTATTCAAGTATATGTAGAATTAAAATAGTTCATAAATTTTACAGTCTTTAAATTATACAAAAAATTGACATGATTATCTACTCCCTCCGCTCCTAAAAATCTTTCCTATTTTGACGTTTTTAGTTAAACAGTGACAGTTTTTTACCACGAATTGTGAAAAAAATATATATTTAATAAACAAGGTGTGTAAAATCCAATCATTTTAAAATATATATTTAATAAACAACAAGTAAGATATAAAATTTAATAAACAACGAGTAAAATATAAAATTGAATAAACATTGCCCTTATTGGATGCCACATCCCAAACAACATGTGTAAAATCCAATCATTTTAAAAAGTATTTTAATTATAAATTAGTATCGATATGAAAAGTATAAATTATATAGTTTAAAAGTACATAAGAACTCTATAAAATAAGAAGTGGAAAAAGATATTTTATTTTAAAAAATTATCAATGAAAATATATAAATAAATAAAAATTATCGAGAAATCATGATAGTGCTAGTGACTAGGGGTGTTCAAAAATATCCGATCCGAAATATCCGTCCACGATCCGGGCCAATCCGATCCGAAAAATGGATATTCGATCCGATTTTTAGCTTTCGGATATTTTGGATCGGATATCCAAAAAAATCGGATCGGATATGGATTCAATTTCTGGAATTTTTTGGATAATCGGATATCCGATTTTTTTGTTGTTGTATGTTTTTGGAATTTTATGGATATATATTATGACTATATGTTTAAATGTAATTTTATGTTGATTTTGGAACTCAACCATTTTAGACTTTTTACGTTAGCATTTTAGAATCTTTTGTTTTAATAGTGCTTTTTTTGTTCGTTTAGGCAAAATTACCAAAGTTATTCAAAATTAAATTTGGTATCATTTTTTATTAGGCCATTACCTAGTGGTGAAATTTTTCTTTTAGTAAATCTATATTGAATTTGATATTTTGGGTTGATTTTGCTATTTTACCTTTTATTTTTTGTAAATTCTGGGTAAAAACTGTTGAAACACGGGTTTATCATGTTTTCGTACTAAAGCCGCGTTCGTTGTTATGACAGGTTTTGATAATGCCAAACCGCCGTGAACGAGACAAGTTATTGAATATACAAGGCGAGAAATAAATATAAGAAGAAAGCAAGAGAACAAGACCCAAAAGAAGACCAAGAACGAAGACCGTAGTCTTAGTGTTGTTGAGTCGGTCATAATTGTGATCAAGACCGACCCAACCTTTACACCTTGGCTCTTTAGGCTAAAATTCTTTTCATTGCATTTCACACATCATAAAAATGTTTTTCAAACATGTTTAAAACATTAAAAACACTTGGTGTTCGCCCAAACCAAAAATCAAGCCATCCGGCGTTCGGGTTTCAGAAACCGGCGTTCGGCATTCGGTTTTCGGCGTTGGTTTTTGGCGTCCGAACT